GTTTGGTTTGATGCATGAATATTTTGCAAATTGACGATTGACTATATGGTATTCAGATTTTGTTGAGATAGACTGTAATTGCTGTGCTAAATATGTCCGTTCGTCCCCACTTGTGTTCTCGTTCACTGCAACATTATCGTATATGGAAATAATCTATTCCATTTAGACTATAAATTCACAACTAATCTCCTTTAAGATGATTGAGAAGGTTTGTAACTCAGGTGGATAATTTTGATGGAGTTTTATTCTCTGAATTGGATGGTTTAGTCATGGTGCTTTCATCGTTCTTCTGAACGACTTCATCAGCACAAACTTTAGATAGAATTGAAGTGTCCGAATTTCTCCATAGGCGTGTCACAACTTGTTCTGTACACCTCGATTTGAAATTCGAACACTTCATTTCTATCTGAAGTTTGTGCTGATGATGTCGTTCAGAAGAACGATGAAAGCTCCATGACTAAATCATCTAGTTCAGAGAACAAAACTCCATAATAATCTCTTTTAAATGCATGGTTCTTGATTGGTTAAATCTCAATTCATAAATGTAATTTATATTTCCCCACATTAGAAATGAATCTACAGTGAAAACAACTAATCAATTGAATGAATATCTTTAACAAACTTGTTTATTTTCATGTTTTAATTGACATGGTATAACAATTGATTTGTAAATAAATTTTGTTTGTTTGTTTATTTCATAGTGGTAAATAACAATATATTGACCTGAAGTATACTAATCGTTTCATAAAAGACAATGCATTGTGTTATGTATTACAATTGACATGTATATGAACGTAAGTTGTAAAATACATACCCCTCTATAACTGTATGTCTGCATAAATTATGTTAAGAATTATATGAGAATATATACTTAAGAATTATAGGTTTTAAATCTTGAATCCTGTATACAGGATAGATGAATTGCTTGAACATAGAACTTATCAACAGTGCGAATACACTATCCCGCATTTGAGAATCGAAATCAGAGCCTTCCGTATCATACACAAACGATTGACCTGTTGATCACTGAGCCCGTGTAGAACCCTTTTTTATGTGGTTTCAATCGATTCACTATAATGCGTAACTATCTTCAATTCTTTTCTGAATCATATCTTTTTCACACTCGGTATGATTGGACTCCATTAGTCATGACTGCTAACTAGAACATCAGTAATTGCATCCAATAACCAATCACTAGTGAACGTGTGATTGTTATCAGTGTAGGGTTTTGTTCAGTTTATAGACCACTAGTGACTTGCTTTTAGATACAATCGCGACTCAAATGGATTTAGATATTAACACCGTTTGATCTCGGCTCAATCATCTAGAAGTTGTGGATAAGCTTATGGGATCAAATTTCCTGCGTTTGAAATCTGGATGCTAGGTCGTAGACGCTTAATTTTAAAGAATCGTAAACTTGTGTGATGATCCATCTAATATAAGTATGTGACTGAAAATTTAACAAAACTATGCGAACAGTGAAATAATTCTAATAATAAAACTACAAGGCCTTAGTGCTAATAATTACATATAGTCATTGTCAGTAACTTCATCTCAGAACATTCCCATTGATTCCATAACTGGCTATAAATTAAATCAAACTTTCTCGTTCCGATTGGCTAACGAGAAAACTGATAAATAATGTAAGAAGAGAATTATGGTGATAATGTTGTATGTGCTAGTGATGCCAACAGTTATAAGTAGTATGTATCATCAATCGAAATTGAAATATCTGGTGGCAGAGGGTTAAAAAGATCAAAGAAAAGAGAACGAGAACAAAGAATGATTGGTATGGAAACGAAAGAACAACGAAGTCTGAGACGAATAATTGACATTTTGCAAATGAATTATTTACTGTATGCTTCTCAGATTTTACGAAGATGTTCTGTAATCTAGTATTCAGATACTTTTGGTTGTTCTCACTTGTGTTCTCATTCACTGCAATGTTAAGAAACTATATAGAACTCAACACACTGAACAAAACTAATGTAATACACATTTACATAGATTTAATGTATACAATATAAAATCATTTGATATAATGATCAATCATTAAAGAAAATTATGGGCCTTAAAGTTTATTTGTTGGCAGAACAACACCATAGAAGGTTCTTCGATACTACGGCGTGCCTCAGAAGATAGTCAATATCATACGGAATTCATATGATGGATTAAACTGCAAAGTTGTGCATGGAGAACAGTTGACAAAGTCGTTAGAAATAAAGACCGGTGTCAGGCAAGGTTGCTTATTCTCACCCTTTCTCTTTCTCCTGGTGGTCGACAGAATCATGAAGACGTCAACATCTGAAGGGAAACGCGGGATACAGTGAACATCTTGGATGCAGTTGGACGATCTGGACTTCGCAAATGATCTGGCACTCCTATCGTACACGCAACAACAAATGCAGGAGAAAATGACCAGTTTGGCAGCAGCCTAAGCAGCAGTATGTCTCAATATACACAAAGGGAAAAGCAAGATTCTCCGATACAACACAGAACGCACCAATCCAATCACAATTGACGGAGAATATTTGGAAGATGTGAAAACCTTTACATATTTGAGCAGCATTATTGATGAACGCATTGGATCTGGTGTAGATGTGAAAGCGCGGATCGGCAAAGCAAGAACAGCATATTTACAACTGAAGAACATCTGGAACTCAAAACAATTGGCAACCAACACCAAAGTCAGAATTTTCAATACAAATGTCAAAACAGTTCTACTGCATGGGGTGGAAACTTGAAAAACTACGAAAGCCATCACTCAGGAAATACAAGTGTTTATTAACAGTTGTGTACGCAAAATACTTCGAAACCATTGGTCAGACACTGTCGGAAATAAGTTACTATGAGAGAGAACAAACCAGATTCCAGAGGAGGAATAAATCGGGAAGAGGCAATGGAAGTGAATAGGACACACATTGAGGAAAGCACACAACTGCGTCACAAGACAAGCCCTCACATGGAATCCTCAAGGCCAAAGGAGGTGAGGAAGACCAAAAAACACATTATACCGGGAAATGGAGATAGACATGAGAAAAATGAACAAGAATTGGATGGAATTAAAAAAGAAGGCCCAGGACAGAGTGGGTTGAAGAATGCTGGTGGGCGACCTATGCTCCATTAAAGGTAACAGGTGTAAGTAAGTAAGTTAATGTTTATTCAGCTACAAAGTCAGGATGCAATAATAATTAACGTTGTAAATAAATCTTAATCATGTATAATTTGTGTTAAATATTACGTAATTAAGCATATCATTTAATCTTATTAAATAATAAATATTTTAACAGTTGAGATCATGAGTCAATTGTAGCTAGACTACCATGGAAAACCTAGAAGTACTGGATGGCTGTTTTGTCTAATTGTGGGTTCGAATCTCTTGAGGCGGGATCTTGAATGCTCAATGATCAGGAGTCTCACAATAAGACGAAACGGTTGTTCAGTGCTTTTAGATTTTCTATAGTGTTCTAACATCAATCGGTTCATGGTTTCAACTATTAATATTACTATAATATCCACATATCCACATAATTTTGTTGACCAGTTATTCTATCTTATCAAATCATTTTATTTTACAGACTTAAGTCAGATTTATGAGGGTTCATTACAAACTTAAGTTTATCTTATCAAGCTAAGTAATCGATAGCATGTATTACACTATTTGTATAGTCATCTTTTTCATTATAAAATCATTATTATATCGAGAATACTTGACAATCAGTTTAGAGTTGTCTTGACTAACGTAATTTCCTCACTAAAAATGTTCTTTTTTTTTAAAATAAATAATAAACTACTTAGATATGTGGTAAAAATCTATGACTTTCCTTTTCAAATAGAAATCAACACTGTTGGATGCCAGATCAATGGTCTAGAGTTTAAGCGTTCATAAGTGAAATTAAAGTCCTAGGGTTCGAGTCCCGAAGTGGGGGATCGTAAACGTGCATTCAAACTACAATGAAACGGCCGTACAATACTTCGAGGTTTTCTATAGTGTTCTCGCTTATATCGACTATTAAATTGCATAATTAAATAAATAGGTAACGTATTAGTTTCAAAGATAATTTTAACCGAAAAAAACTCAAAAAATTTAGGCTAAATTCCTATAGGCAGAACGAAAGAAAGAAAGATAGATAGATAGATGGATAGATAGATAGATAGATAGATAGATAGATAGATAGATAGATAGATAGATGGATAGATAGATAGATAGATGGATAGATAGATAGATAGATAGATAGATAGATAGATAGATAGATAGATAGATAGATAGATAGATGGATAGATAGATAGATAGATAGATAGATAGATGGATAGATAGATAGATAGATGGATAGATAGATAGATAGATAGATAGATAGATAGATAGATAGATGGATAGATAGATAGATAGATAGATAGATAGATAGATAGATAGATAGGTACATAGATAGATAGATAGATAGATAGATAGATAGATAGATAGATAGATAGATAGATAGATAGATAGATAGATAGATAGATAGATAGATAGATAGATAGATAGATAGATAGATAGATAGATAGATAGATGGATAGATAGATAGATAGATGGATAGATAGATAGATAGATGGATAGATAGATAGATAGATAGATAGATGGATAGATAGATAGATGGATAGATAGATAGATAGATAGATAGATAGATAGATAGATAGATAGATAGATAGATAGATAGATAGATAGATAGATAGATAGATAGATCGATAGATAGATAGATAGATAGATAGATAGATAGATAGATAGATAGATAGATAGATAGATAGATAGATAGATAGATGGATAGATAGATAGATAGATAGATAGATAGATAGATAGATAGATAGATAGATAGATAGATAGATAGATAGATAGATAGATAGATAGATAGATGGATAGATTGATAGATAGATAGATAGATAGATAGATAGATAGATAGATAGATAGATAGATAGATAGATAAAGTGGTAATCTCTTAATTGATCCCTTTAAACCAAAGACTTACTATTTATTAAACTGTTCACTCGTCGATTTACGATTATTATCAGCATCATCTTCATCATCATTAATATGAATATACACAATCCATTGATTCTATACGGTCATAAAACAATTAACAATTATGTAATATTATTTCTTAATTCAATTAATTGTATAATCAAAATAATGTAAGAAGAGAAAAAAAATTAAAGAAAAAAATTGTTTTCTTTTCTTTTTATTGTTTTTTTAAAAAAATTTTTTTTCATTTGATTATTATAGTAACCAATAATAATCAACTTTATGTTATAGGCTCATTCATTCATTCATTCATTTCAGTAATGTATGTGTATTTCTCTGTTATTTTTTTTCTCGTTAATTTACATTTAAGTATCCAATAATCAGTTTAAACCAATTAAATGTGAAGTGAATATTTCAAGTTTAATCATTTTTTTTGGGGGGGGGGAGAGAAGAGAAAACTTGAATATTCTAGTTAGATAATAAATTGAAAAAACAAACATCAACTGGATACTGTTGTGAGATAATAATTCATTGAAGATCATTATGGTGAATGTGTCTACTCAATTTTGTGAATGAGTTAAAATTAGACATGAATACCGTTGGATACTGGTCAACTTAATGGTCTAGAGGTTATACGTTTACACGTGAGACTGATAGGTATTGTGGATGAGCACTACTGAAGAGTTCCACGATAGGACGAGACGGATGTCCAATGCTTTTAGATTTTTTGTGATGATCTAGCTTTAATTGATTCATGATTTCTACTATTGTAATTTTATTTTTTTTTATTGGAAATCTCTAATTGGATTTAATTATATACAAGCATTGATGTAAGTTTATCAAAATTGAAGTCTGTTAATAGTTCAATTCATGGATGGATGAATGTTAGACCACTATCGAAAATCTGGAAATACTAGATGGCTATTTCATCCTAGTATAGGACTCCTCAGTGATGTGCATCCACGATGTCGGACACAGGGACTCTAGCCTAGGACTTTTGGTTTCACGTTTGAATGCTTAATATCTATACCACTGAGCTGGTATTCAATGGTATATACATATATATATTTGCTTGCATGTGCCTGGCATGAAGAATTAGTTGTTAAAATTCTAGTAAAAATGTATAACCAGAGAAGTTCAACTGTTTGTCTAATTAGGCAAAGATCTATAATACTAATAAATGCTAGTCTTGAAATATTTCAAACCAATTAAAATTGATGATGAAATAGTTATCTAACTACTAAACATTCATCATACGATTTGAAATTCATTTATATGATCCTAAATGAGTGGTTCGGTATGTACAATTATCAAGTCTCATCTTTAAACGAAACATTTATCCAGTTCATTTTAGTTTTGAATGATTATCTTGCTAACATCAATATTATAGTTTATTTTATTTCTTGTCGCATTTCTTCACTTATTCCAAAAGTTTTGATTGATGATTCTAATACTATGAAGAATTTCAATTTTAAGGCGTCACTTCTATTGTAGTTTAATCCCATTTTTTTCTTTTGGAATAGGTATTCTTCTATGCTTGTTAATAATTGTTTTGACTGGTTGATCATGTAATTGTTGGTATTTTCTTCTATGGATCGTTTTGACCACTTGATTATATTGGGTTGTTATTCTTTCTTTTTTTGTTGTTGTTGTTGTTTGTTTATTAATGATCTTATAAACATAAGAACAAAAAGAAAAAAAAACAACTTTTACTCCTAAAAAAAAAAATTGATCCAATAAAATAATCAATAATATTTTTATATGAATAAAGAAGAATCAAAAGGAAACACAAATGATCCGGAAGTATTAAATGTACAACTCAAAGTTATTTAAAAAGTAAAACAAAAATACAAAAAATAAATTGAAATGAAATGAAATTGAAGTAGGTGACTTGTATGGAAACAGGTTACCATAGTTACTTACATAACATTGATATATATATATATATAGGTATACATTTATCAAAGGCGCATATGCCTCCGGATATCATTGATATATTCAATGATATGAATAAAGATCATACAATGTGAATAGATATACTAAATCAAGATGTTTTCTTTTATTGGGTCAGTGACCGCCCTGTTTTTTTGGGGTTGTTGTTGAATATATCCAAGTTTATTAAATTACTTCAATCGGTTTATTTCTAGATTTGATAAATAGTAAAAAATTGTTAAAAATGAGTAGTATAACTAATACAAACTAAATTAATATTTTAGTTAAGGGAGTTTATAATTTAATAGATGGTACTCATTATAGATCTATTACAATTGCATAATCGATGAAAACGTCTAGTATACAACTTTTCAGCATAGAATATTCATGATCTCATAAGAAAATTTCGATTGAAATTCAATATAGTGATTAAAATGACTAATGATTTGCCATAAGACTTGAAAGTTTTGGGTTAGATCACTTGTGACGTCTTAAGTGTGTTCAGCTGAGGAATTCTATACCAGGACGATGGTAATATTCAATTATTCCTGGTTTTTTAATGATATTCCAATTGAAATCAATTTATGATGAATGAAACCTATAAAATTCACCAAGCACTTTATAAGTATAGTAAGGTTACTTACTTACGCCTGTTACTCCTAATGTAGCATAGGCCACCGATCAGCATTCTCCAACCCATTCTGTCCTATGCCTTCCTTTCCAGGTCTATCCAAATTTTGTTCGTTTTTCTCATGTCTATCTCCATTTCTCTACGTAATGTGTTCTTTGATTTTCCTCTTTTCCGGAGTATTTTGTGTCGACAACTGTTAATAAACACTTGTATATTCTGGATGATGGTTTTCGTAGTTTTCCAAGTTTCCGCTCCATACATTAGAACTGTCTTGAAATTTGTATTGGGAATCTTGACTTTGGTGTTGGTTGACAGTTGCTTTGAGTTCCGGATGTTTTTCAGTTGTAAATATGCTGTTCTTGATTTGCCGATCCGCGCTTTCACATCTACACCAGATCCACTGCGTTCATCAATGATGCTGCTCAAATATGTAAAGGTTTTCACATCTTCCAAATATTCTCCGTCAATTGTGATTGGATTGGTGCGTTCTATGTTGTATCGGATAATCTTGCTTTTCCCTTTGTGTATATTGAGACCTACTGCTGCTTAGGTTGCTGCCACACTGGTCATTTTATCCTGCATTTGTTGTTGCGTGTGCAATAGAAGAGCCAGATCATCTGCGAAGTCTGGATTGTCCAACTGCATCCAAGATGTTCACTGTATCTTTCGTTTCCCTTCAGATGTTGACGTCTTCATGATGCAGTCGATCACTAGGAGAAGGAGAAAGGGTGAGAGTAAGAAACCTTGCCCAACACCGCTCTTTACCTCGAAGGAGTCTGTCAATTGTCGTCCATGCACAATTTTGCAGTTTAATCCATCATAGGAATTCCGTATGATATTGACTATCTTCTCAGGCACGCCGTAGTGTCGAATAAGCTTCAATAGTGTTGTCTTGTTCACTCTATCAAATGCTTTCTCATAGTCAATGAAGTTGATGTAAAGTGATGAATTCCATTCAATTGATTGTTCCACAATGATACGTAAGTATAATAAAGTAGTTTTTATTAAATCCCGTTTGGATGTTTGATACAAGTGTTAATCAATGTTGCTTTATGTATCATATCTTTAATGATTATTAATCATTTGTATCCCATAGATAATAATTTAAATACAAAAATTATTTTGTTTCCATAGGTTACTAATTTTTTCAACTACCTTACAGAATAAAGTCTTATTTCATAAGTGAATTCTATTACTCATAATTCATTTTAACATCATGTTACTTTTGTCATTACGCCTATATTCAAAACACATCTTATTTATCCACGAAAGGTTGTGAATGAATTTGTAGCCAACTAGTTTTTACAATTGATTAGTCATCAGTAGTGACCAATATTATGTATGTCAAGTCGATTTCAGCGCGCATCAAGTACCGATCTGGTTAATAATCTACATGACTCGGCATGCTGAGATATAAGGTGATGGTCAAAGGTAGTCGACAGTAGCTTAATGGATACGAATCCGATTGTGAAGCTAGGTGACACGGGATAGAATCCGCCTAGCAGTATCAGTTCTCTTAAGATTACTATCACACTTTGTGGATGAGTACTAAGTGGTATGAAACCTAAGTTCAGGGTTTCCCATCAACAATCTTCAATCACCGTCTGACGAACTGTGGTAATAACGAGTATTTGAATTATAGTATGAACTAAGAATCTCAGAAATAACGTAATCGGATCAAAAAGTACTAGATAACCACAAACGAATGTTCTGTATTTAGAATTCGAAATCAAGCATCCAACAAGTACAAAGGAATCATTAGATCATTCAAACGTCATTATAATATCGTTAGAGGATACTTCATGTAGAAGTTTTCAACATGAAATAGGCATCAATGATGTTATCTGGACCAATAATGAAAGCTCTGTACTGAAATCACCTAGTTCAGAGCACAAAAAAATAACCAAAATAATCAATAAATTTAAGGCAAACAAATGAGTACTTTTAAGGATCGATACCCAAAATAAATCTTGTAGCATCTAGTATTATGCCTGTTGATTATATCATGTAGGGCTCATCAATTTAGGGGCCTGTGATCTGACTGCAGTTCGATTAATATGATATGATCATATGATTATGAAGATGATTAAATATATATTCTATCTCCATCACCAAATGTAACGTTCATTCTTCGGTTAGGATTATTGTGTGCAACCGATCAATTACATGAAGTAGAATCGCCGCTGTGATGCAATATGTGGCTCATGAGTTACGTTTGATGGTGGAGGTGAGATCCAGTTTGCTCACATTAAGATAGAATGGTAATGCATAACAGTCACTTCAATCCAAGTAACTCATGAGCTTCACACTGCACTAAATAGTAGCCATTCCACTTTACGTAATTCATCAACCTCACACACTATTCCTAACCAAAGGCTTAACAATACAATCTTAGCTATGCTGAAGAATACGTATGATATTCATTAGCTTCGAATAAACCACTAAACAACGTATGAATAAATATAGTATGATGATAATATCATATCGAATTGTGAATATTAGCTAATCTATGTTTAAGTTGGATGTGATCTCGATTTCAGTTACCGTAATCTTACTTTTGAGAATTAAAATAATTAGCATTGAT